ATGTGAATAATTTAAAAAATCAATGTTGTATTTTGTGTAGTAGTGTAACTACCGATGTAAGATATTCTTAAGTCAAGCTGCTCTTTAAATACTGTGATGCTTCTTTTCACATATTGGCAAGCATCAGTGGCTTCATGTGACATTAGCTGGTGACAACCTTTCTAATAATTCCCACAAAATAGTTTAATTATTATTTTAAAATACAAGACAACCTGGATATTTTTTCAAAGCTAGAACACTTTTAAAAGTAAAGGAGAAAAAATATATTTGAGCCATTCCTAGTAATGAGCGTTTATGCAAATGTCATAAAAACTTCATACTGCTGGTGAGTAGCAAACATTCTGCTTACTGCCTAACAGCTGGGCTCTGTCAGGCCAAGGATCTAGTGCTTTGTCTCTGACATGGAAAAAAAAAAAAAAAAAACCAGCCCAAAAATGGGTACAGGAACAGAGCAATGTGATACTTTGGTATACTCTTCCAGTTACTGGCAGCCTTTGATTTCGGAAACTTCTTGAGCCAAGAGTTGCATCTGGAACGTAATAGAATAGTCCTTTTTGGACCTTTCTTCTATCAATTTGTCTTGATTGCTTTTTGAGTCCATTTATACTTTTGGCCAACATCCTATGTAAATGAGTTTGTCTCACCGTGGGGCATATAGGAAAACCTCTTCTTTTAGTTTAACCTTCTGTTTGATAACTGCGTTGCTGTGTCACTCGTACTCACGTAGCAAGGGGTAGGGCAAGAATAGTGTTTTTATTCTCCCTTTCTCCAATTGGTTTGTAATTTCTGCAGACTTCTGATATATCCTGCCTTAGTTAACTTTTTTTGAAGCTATGGATTTCTAGATCTATTTAGTGTTATCTTCTGTGGAAGATGCAATGCTTCATGAGTTAGATCACGTCACACTCTTGTGACACCTTTTCTTGTTCTACCCTGTCTCCTTTCAGGTTTTGTGCATGCCAGGGATTTATCCAGTGACTTGAATATGTTAAAAATTATTAGGAAAGTAATGGAACAGAGAACTTCCTATTTTTCCTCCCTAACTGGTGCTTCCAGTATGCTGCTATTTTGCCATTTTCTAATGCCCAACACTATCCTTATCTGTGAATTTTAATTCTTTCCACTTGTGTTTATTCTGTGTCGCGCTTTGGTTGCAGCACAAAAGCTTTAGATCAGTTAAACTGTTCAGAAATTTATTTTGTATCAAAGTTCATTTTTTTTTATATTCCAAATTTGAAAACAGAATGGTGTCTGGCAATATTCAGTCTCCTGAATGGAAGAGTGAATTGACATTTTCTATAATTGTAGAAAATCAGAAAAACTATCGTACCAGTGTTGGGAAGGTTTACTGTGACACGAGCACTGCAATGAAAATAGTTTGGTGTTACCTTTGTTAGAGCTCGGGTGTTGTACGTGCAAGTGTTGTACGTGCAAGAAGACTTGTTTGGGGTTTTCTTTTCCTTATTTGTACCAGTGGTGTCTGAGTCCAAATTCAGTTTTGATAAATATACTTTATTGTTAAATATATTAAACTAGTCTGTTAATTCTATAATAAGTGAAAATTCTAGGACTTTTAACTAAATTTAATCTTCTAAATGGAAATTTTACCTCGAGGCATCAACTCTACATCTAAACTTTTAAGCAGTTTAACTACAGATAAAAGTGACTCTCTGGCTGTCTCCCATGATGGTCGTCTTGGAAGAAAGAGGTATGGAAAGTGTTTCCAGAAAGAGGGAACCTTTCCTGTGGTAACTTATTCTGCATATTAATGGGACAAGGATTATCAAATGTTCCTTGTGGCAGCAAAACGTAGTGTTACCAGTAACTCTGAAATGCGAGAATAGCAATACATGGGATCTAAATTTGGTGATTTCTCTGTTTCTCCTCATCTTTCTGACATCTGCTTGTAGCATTTACAGAACTGTTTTGTGGAGATGGAGAAATGTTAAGTTTAGATTCACTTTACTGAGGATCTTGCAGAGTCACAAATACTTTTAACTGCGAAGAGTTGGGGAAAGAAACACTGGCTATACTGCTCTTTATGTAAAGCTTTTACTCCCCATGCGTTTTAGGGGTATATCTCAAAGCTGGTGTGTTCTACAGATTCTGATTTTGGGAGGTGCTGTTCCTGCAGAAATGCATAGGACAGCATTTCTGCTAACCCGTTCCTATTTTTCATGTTCTTTGTTCGGTGTTTAAAATTGACCTTCTATGTGTCTGTATACATCTCTGTTTTGTCAGTGCTGGTGCTGATGTATCTACAGCTGAATCTGCCCCTCCGTCCCAGGTCGGGCTCTGTATGTGATTTGGTGGTAACCATTTCTCTCTCTCAGTCGGAGGAAGGTGCTGACGCACTCCCCATAGGTGACCTTATGGTACTTAATGTGCTTGTATAGGGTCTGTGAGGTCTAAGCTTAGTGGTCTCTCTTGCCCCAGGGAGATTCAAGCCTGCATTTCCAAGCACCCAGCAGATAAGTGACTATTCTGGGACTGGAGCAGTCTCTGCACCCTTGATTAAAACTCTGTTCTGTGGTTTTCTTCAAACAAATGATGAAACTTTCCTTAACAACAGTCTCTCAAGATCCTCCGTGTCTTCGGTGGGAGCAGGAAAAAGCAGAGCGTGGGGGAACGTGCCGAGACTGAGGACCCACTGCCGCTTTATCCGAACAGGAATAGTCCAGTCTTGCCCTCGTTCCTTTGAGAGGCTCTGAAGGGACTGTGGTAGCTGTGAGATGGGTAAGGGTTAAATCAGTCCGAAAGCTGTAAGATGGAAAAGCTGGAGCCGATGGCTTCGGAGAGCTGGAGCTGAAGCAGGTGAAAGGTCAGAGCTGGCCTGTGTGGGCTGGGAGCTCTGCGCTTGCGGCGTGGGGAGAGTGCTGATTAACTGTTTCTGCTCATAAACACTTCTTCTCACTGAACAGAAACAAACCTGGCATTAAATGCCTAGGAATAGCTGTGTCCCACCAGTCTCGGTTACCACAGTGCTTTGGAAAAAAAATGAACCTCAAAGTTCTCAATTGGGGGTAGGGGGGAGCTGACACTGACTTTGAATTGCACCTGGGATGGTGTTAGGTGCAGGTGATGGGTTTGCAAAAGTGTCTAAGGTCGTGAGATGTTGGGCAGGCATCTGCAGTTCAGAGAAAGAACCTTACAAGTGGCTTTTTTCATGCTTACATTTGTTAACACCATTCAGATAAAGCAGATCTAAAGGCTTCTCTTAATTAAAGGGATAAACTCTGTAACTAGGTATGAGTGTTGGCTTTTGGTCTGTATGACAGAGTTACTAAATAGTTATGTCTGGAATTTAAAGCATCAGTTTGTAAATATATTCCATTTTGGTCTTTTCATGGTACTGCGGAGATATATTCTCTACTTTATAAAAAGAAAGTAACAATCACTGGAGAATCATAAATATTTACATTTTTGGGAAACTGCACTTCAGGAACACTGTTGCATAGTGACAACCATGATGCTTTGCTTTGAGTTTCTATTCTGTGACACTCACACTAAGTTTCTTCTCACTTCCCTCTCCAATCGTAATTTCCATTGGGAAAGTTGCTGTTCTTGTGTGGTGCAACTGGGGAGGCGAAATGTTCGAGCATTAAGAAAATATACATGCAGTCTTGATAGCTTAAAGTATGCAAAAAAAAAAATCAGTCTAATAATGTGGAGGTTCATATGAATAGCTGTGGAAACAGAACTTCAGATTTGTTTTTTCATTTTACTTGTTTTCATAAACTGTAAAACCAAAAGATCAACACAATGAGAAAAGTAGTTTAATATAACCCACAGATTTTACTTGTGAATTAGATGGTAGTTGAGATGCTAAGCCACCATTAACAGATCTATCCATTATTAAAATGGTACGAACTATTGAAAAATAACTCTTGGCCACCTGAAGCTATTCAGTATAGGTATAGTTAGATTTGAGACTGAAGTTTCGAAGTTATTTAACCTTGTGTATTCAGCTTGTTGCCATGAGTATGAAATTAAGTTTCCATAAAAACTGCAAAATGTGAAATTAAGCAGTCTTCAGTAATCCTGGGTTAAATTTGAGAACTAGATCCCTGTCCTTCCAGATTTTTTTCTCCAGAATTAGAGTACCAAATCCTACCTGTCGTGACTTCTTAGCAAACACGTGGCAAGTTCAAAAAGTAAGCTGATGCCAATAGAAAACTGCACCTGCTTTACTGAGCCTAGCAGCTTGACGTCTATGCAGTGTCTTCAGTCCTCTTGCCGCTGGGCTTTCCTGCCAGAGGTAACCATTTGGATGAAGTGTCTCAACGGAAGATGCTCATTTACAGCAAATTTTCAAGAAATCTGTAAAACTGGATAGCTGTGTTGTGTAGCATCCAAGTAGATTGTGTCAAAATTGTGCTTTATAGCGATGTGGCTCTTGGATCTTGCTAGCTTGGTGTTGCTAACTTTTTTTACCTAAATAGTTAACTAGTTGGTGGATGCATACGGCACTGGAAGTTACTAGGTTTCCTCAAGTTTGGATACTCAATATGCTTTGTTTTACCAGAATATTCTTTCAACAATATTTTTCAATGCTCTTCTGATCTCCTAATGCTTGAGAAGGCTAATATGTCCTTTTTGGCCTCTAAACCTCAAACACAAAGGCAAAGGTGGAAGAATACGTTTTCAGGCGTGGTGTTACTTGTAAAATTACACCTATGAGGATCACACATTAGTTCCCAGACACTTTTTGTCCGCATTTGATGTTTACTATCTGTTGGTAGTGTCGCTGTTGCAGCTAGATGTTGCTGCTACTATTTTTTTTCCACCTGGAGAAATACATTGTGGCTAAGTTGCTTACACAAGCAAGCTCTTTCTATTTTATTTCTTTTGGAGATGTTGCAATAAACAATGTTTATGATTCTCTCCTGAGTTCAGTCTCACCAGTATCGTGTCAAAAAAAAAGTTTCAAGTACTTCTGAGTCCTTACTCTTTTATATTTTAATCTTTTTATCACTGACTTTCTTATCTGAATTATTCTTTAGGGCTGCAGGGTTCTGGTTGATGCACGGGACAAACTGGGGATCCCTTGGCAGTATACCGAGAATGAGAAGCATGGAATGTTTTTGATGGCTTTTGAAAACAAAGCTGGAATGCCCATAGAGCCTGCCACCTTCCAGCTGTATGTACCTGCACTGGGCGCGCTGTGGAGGGATTCGGGAATCAAGGAAGCCTTCAGCCGTCGGAGCGAGTATCAGCTGGTGAGTACGTCCATCTTCATGGTGGGAGGAAAAAAGTTCCCTGCTGTATAAATCTCTCTTCAGTTGAAAGATTGCTTGCTATGTGCAAGATTTGGCCATCGTACGAGCTGTTAGTAGTAGTGCTGTAAATCTGAGCACTTCAGCAGCAGAAACAAGTGGTAATTGGAGCCAAACTTGAAAAACTACATGGGAGTAAGAGGGAGTGGAAAAGTGCATGACTGGATAAACTGGAAGAGCAAGAGGAACCAAAAAAGGCAGGAATTGGTTGAACTAAAAATATTTTAGCAACTCAGTAGGTCTGTTCATAGTAGGTCACTGATGAAGGCACACTTAATTTGTAACTTTCCAGTCCTGCCAGCTTGCACTATATTGATACTGGCAAACTATTCCTGCATGCAGATCTTTTGAAGTGAATGCAACACCCATTCCAGCTGCTGCTGTTTTGACTGTTTCTTTTCATCCTGACGTCTGCAAGTGAAACTTGGATAAGCAACTGAAAGATGACAGTGAGCTTAAAAAATGCGCTATCTTCTTTGCTTTCTTGTTATTAGGTTTTCATGCTCTTATGCCAAAATAGCTGCACTTCTGGTATGGAATATGTTTCTGACAGCTGTTCATCATCTGCTTCTTTTTCTTCCTATGTACAAGATGGAGATGCTTTTTTTCTCTTTCTTCTCTGCTCAGTGAACTGAGAACAAGGTACTGATCCATCCACCTCAGTACCGCTGTTACTAGTTCATAAAAGATGATGTGGGATGATATCCTAATTATTCTAATAAATGTGTCTTTATGATTTTGACATTAATTATATTTAATCTGCAGGTAGAATTCTGTCTCAGGTGTTCTGTCTCCAAAGTTAATTCAGCTCTTATTGATGTTTAATTAGGGAATAGAAACATGGCTTTGCATAGTCTCCCTTAAACTCCTACAAAGGAACTTGATAGAGCTATAGAAAAACTAGATAAATTCAGCGGTGAAATTCATGTAGTTTGTTTCCTCGTGCTGCTCCTCTGCGTGCGTTCTCTAGTGTCTAATACTGTAATTAAACTCATGTTGCAGCCCTTAGGTACTCATCTGCCTCCACTAATAAGGTGCCTTTTTGAGTCGTCTTGTTGCATATTTTTGAAATCTGTCTCTGAAGTATCTTGAGGCTGGTAAATGGCTAAAGAATAAATAAAATTACTAGATAAAATCGTCACAGGATGATTGTATAAACCTCACTTCCTAAGGCTAAAAATGTAACCATTTCCATGTTACAGCACTGGGGAGGGGAGGGAGGATGTGCAGGGGGGAGAGAAGATAGATGAATTGTTCCATAATTCCTAGTGTCTGTTGACACAGACTAAGGCTTTGCTGTTGTAAGCACTGTTCAAATGTGGAATAAAAAGATGGTTCATGCCACAGGGAACTTGAATTTAACATGAGACAACTACGAAGAGAATCCAGTATAATAAGCAGTAATTGCATCAGGAGCCTGTTAAGATTTTTTTCTTTTTCTGGGAAATGCTATGATCAAGCATGAGTTCTGTTTTTAAGGGGAGATTCAGACTGGGATCATGTGGGAGGTTCGTTCCTGTACTGGTTAGCAATAAAATAGTATCAAACTGGAAAAAAGAAGTCCAGTTAGTTGAATAAATAACATTCCAAGACTAGTAAGCCTACCTCTGCATTCTTTGGCTTTGAGGATTAAACAGGAAATACCAAAAAAATAAAAAAGCCCCATAAAACCCAAGCATACAGGCATGCAAGAGATCATTTAATATGCTGTCGTCTTCAACATCATGGTATAGTTCTATCATGCATCTTTTTGGATGGTGTTCGAATAACCTGTTTAATGTTACTGGGGCAAGTGGAACTGCTGCAGGCACCAGAACTGTTGACTTGTCCATAGTGCAACGACACAGTGTACCTCAAAAGTACACTGACGTGAAACAACTTGAAAGTCCTGGGTGCTATTATTTTACTGTGCAGGCTCCATCACCAGGAGATGATAAAGTACCTCAACTGTAAATAAAAGCACTTACTGCTTCAAAGTTGGTTTTTTTTTTTTTAAATGTAATAGATTGTTCTTAAGGATACAAATGCTACTTCTAGATTGATCACTAAGCAAATTATTAAGATCTTAGTAACTTGAACAAGTTTCCATGCCTCGCTTCTAGGTTCA